AGGGGATGGATTGGTTCACATTCTCGGTAAAGACTATGCAAGGATCTGAGTCAGATACAGCTGGGACCAGGGGGCCGGTGATGTCAAGTCCCTGAGTCTCCATTTCTCAGCTCTCCTTGTCTCTGTGTGGTCTCACTCTCGGACTGACTGGTAGATGGGCAGGCCAGCATCAGCTCTGTCTAGTAATCCTATATGTCAGTCTCCCAGAAGAGTGTGTTCAGCGAATTTTGAGTTTCCTCTGAACCAATACCTTTGACTGGGGACCAGTGGTACTCAGATGGTCAGCCTGTGTCACATAATTTTCCCCAATGTCAGGGGATGGGGGATTGTGACCAACAACCCTATTCCATAAAGCAGCGTAGAGTAGAGGAGAAGGTTTCCCAAAGAAGGAGGCAGAAGAGTGTTCTGTTGGCGTAAGAAATGTGCAAACCTGTGCAGAATTTTTATGAGTTTATTTGAACCAAACTGACGACAATTTCCGGGAAGCAAAATGTCAATGGATTGAGAATGCCAGAGAATGGCAGTTGTGCAGTTTATTTTATACATTGGATGAGACGTGATGAGGGTTACATGAAATCCACTGGTAGGAGGTTAAGTGGGTGGGAGAAAGCAAAATGGAGACATCTCTGGGATTGGATAAAAAGTAAAATGAAGAGACACACACTTCTTTGTCATTGGTGGGTACATGATTGTTCGTAATTAACATTTACAGCACACAGAGATGGCATTCACGGAGCAAGACAACAATAAGGGGTCCTGTGGTCTCATGCTCTGGTGTGGGGGGGGGCGTGCCCTGAGTGGTCTGGAAAAGGAGAGAGCTCTGACATTTCAAAGGTATGCTATCTTAGATGCAAAAAGTCCATAGACAGGCTCACTCAAGGTAAAGATTGACCTTTGTGAAGGAAGCTACAGGCCTAGGACGTGACTACCCACCATGACCTGCTTTTGGTTAGGGATTTTTATGTTCAGACCATCCTGTGTGGTTACTTTGGGTCTCTGAGTTTGTGGGGCCCGCCATGTGGGCCGCCTCTGAGCTTGTCAGGTTTAGTATGTGGCCAATTCTTATCATAAACAGCTATAGCTATCACACTTCTACCACCTGAAGATTTATTAGAGCAACTCAGAGTTACATAAAAATGTTAATTTTGTCTAAAGGCATTATTGTAGAATCAATGATTCATCAAATGATTCACTTTTTATTTCTCTCTTTACCTTTTTCCTTTCACAGAGGGCATAAAGGACAAAACCATTAGGGAAAAAAAATACTTTTTAGAAAAAGGAATAATTTTCTCTATTTTACTTTCCAACATTGTCTTACCCGCTCTCATTAGTTCTTCTAACGAACTTGTCACTTAGATACGCAGTGTCATTTGATTGAACAGTCTCCACCCACTGTGAGAAGCCCTTTCAGGCAGAGACTAACATTTTATTTCTGTTCCAGCTGTGCCTACACACTGTCTGGCTGAATGTAGGTGTTCAGCAAAGGCGTGTGGAATGAACTGGTGAGCGAATGCTTAGCACACACCTGCCCGGTTGGAGGTGCCAGGGCTTTAAAGAGTTAGATAACTGAGGTTACACAACTCATTGTGTTGAAATTGGAATTTGAGCTCCGTTATCTTCCTAGCCCCAATTTAGGTTTTTAAAATGTTTGTTTATTTCCTTTACTTGGCTCCCTGACCATGTAATCAAGGTGGGGCCTATGTGTGCCCGTCTGCCACTTTCGGTCTCTCTGTGTGCTTAGCGACTGAACCAATAGTTAGGACATTGGCTCCCACAACAGGGACAGGAAGACAATCTCAGGGCTTCTGGGCAATACGGTTGTCTAACCCTCATGAGAATAAAGTCACATCTAGTTTAATCTTCAGGAACTTCCTGTAGAGCAGAAGTCAGGCTGAGTTGAGCTGTGGTCTCATGTACCTCTTGTAGAGCCCCAGCAAAATGGCAGACAGGGGAGAATGTGCCTGCTTGCTCATTGTCCCATCTCCTGGGTCACTGTCCCTTTATCCTCTTGATCTCGGGGCCTCAGCACTTTCCCACAGAGACAAACCAACTTCAGCTGTCACTCTTGGTGATCCACGTTTCTCCTCTCAGACCACTTTGCAATCCCAAACCCCACACCCCCCTGTTGGAATGGAATCAATTAAGAACAAAGACAGAATCTTCCAGAATAATATGAAGACTTGCCCTACATTAAAAAAAAAGTAGAAATCAATACTCACTGGGACCATAAGGGCAAGTCTGTCTCCCATTTAAAAAAGTATTAGGGCTGGCAGCTTTGTTTCCTAAAAGGCGACTGTATCATTCAGGGTGAAGTCAGAGAGACAGAACTAGCAGGAGATGCATATTGAGATTTATTCAAGGAATTGGCTTATGCAATTGTGGGGCCTGGCTAGGCAAGTCTGAAATCCTTGGGGTAGGCTGTCAGGGAGGGTGGGAAGAACACTCAGGCGTGGACCGAAGCTGCTGTCCAAAGGTAGAATTTATTCTTTTGGGAACTCTCAGCTCACCTGTTCAGGTCGTCCGATTGATTGAGTCAAGCCCACCCAGATGATCTATGATAACCTCCCTTACTTCAGTTCAAATGATTATGGACTGTAGTCATTCTGCAAAATGCCTTCACTGCAACACCAAGAATACTGTTTGAATAACTGAGTATGGTGGCCTAGCCATGTTGACACATAAAACTGGCCATCTGAGTGGCCAGTTGGAGTTCTAGCAGATTCCACGGGGACTGGTAAACTGTTGTAAGCCCTGGGGATACTTCATGGTGTAAAACAGTTTCTGCTCCTATGGCGTGCATGTTCTAGTGGAAGATGACAATAAAATAAACGACATAAACTTATAGTGGTGATGCGTAGTGGTAAGAATAATAAATCAGGGGAAGGGAATAGACAGTGATGAATAGATATGTGTGCAGAGCTGGCTACATAATTTGTGGGGCCCAGTGCAAAAAGCAAATTCAGTGTCCTCTCTTCAAAAAATAGAAAAAAGTGTCACTCAAGGTATTAAACCTGAAAGCTTTTTTCTTCCTTCCATGGCTCTCTCTCTGAAATGGTCATGGTGGGATTTTTTTTCCCCCTCCTACTTAATGCTGTTCTAAGTAAAAAAAAAAAAATTAAAATTTAGATTATTAACATGAATTTACCCTTCATCATTATATTGTGTATTGCCCACTGTCCATACACATATCAGAGCTGAATTACTGAAATTACACCATTTCCGTTTCCTACACTTTGTTCTTCCCAGAATAGTGGAAACACTCCACCAAACGAACTCACCTGTTGTTTCAGTTCTAATAGGTGCACATTTCCCCGACACTTTACCTTTGGCTTACTGACCAGCCGGGTGGCCAGTGGGAGTTCTAGCAGATTCCATGTGGTTAGTGTGGAGGGACAGCAGGAGGGGAGCCTGGGATTACCCTGCCTGTCCCTTCCCTTTTAGGTTGTCATTTTCAGTATAAGTGGTTGTCTGATACAGGAAAGTCATGCAATGCAAATGAAAAGGGTGTGATAGAGTTTCTTGATCATCCATGCTTCTTAGATAGAACACAACTGACTTCTTTCTGCATGTGAAGCAAGTTCTGGTTCTGAAGTGTGGCCTCTTGTGGCCGTCAGTGCACCTGTACTGTGTACTGAGTCAGAGACTTAACATGCTCCCCTTGCATCTGCTTTGTGTCCCGCTGAATTCTGTATATCAGGGGATACACATATTGTACCTCCTCTACTCACAAGGTACTCCACTGTTCCATCAGACTTAGCTTACAAAACACAAATTCAAAGGTAAAGTTATTAAGGATGTCAAGATGGTGACATTAAACCAAGAGCATTAGATCAAGCAGAGAGCCTTCCTAAGTACGGGACCCTTGCGACTATACAGGTTTCCTATGAAGCCAGCTATGTGTATATATGTTCATGTGTGTGTGCACGCTATTTTAGATAATGTTGATAAGGAAGGACTGTCTGATGAAGTGACATTTGATCAGGGTTCCCAAGAAGGTGAAGAAGTGAGGTTTGCAGATACCTAGGGCGAGAGCAGCATGTTTAGATGTTTCAAGGCACAGGTGTCTTTGGTTTATTTTCGGAAAGTGAGGAGGCCATTGTGGCTGGATCCAAGTAAGTGAGGGAGTGAGGAGTAGGAGATGAGATCAGAGAGACAGTGGGTTCCTGAGTCATGCATGGGCTTGGGGGCCAAGGTAAGGACTTTGAGAAGAGGGGAGACTAGGGAGAATTGAGCAGAGGGACGACATTCCATGATTAGATTTTAGGAGGCTCCCTCTGGCTGCTGTGTGGCAGTGCTCTGCACAGGCCAAGGCTGGAAGTGGTGGGACCGGTTTGCAAGCAGCTAGACCAAACAAAGATAGGGCCTGGGCTGGGTGTATAGATAACGGTGATTAAATATGTTTGGATTCTGTTCATATTTCAGAACTAGTGCCAACAGGAGTTGCCTATGGGATGGATATTTACTTTAGAGTCCTGAGAGAGCAAATAAAATGGCTCATTAAGAAGCAGTGAATTTCCCAAAGTTCCACATTCAAGGCAAAGCAGACCTGGGGAGGCTGAGAACAGACATTTCATGTTCTTTTTCATCAGCTCTTCTCATTTTTCATTATCTGTAGACTTTTCCCCAAATTGCTCCTCTAGCACCCTCTTTTGAATATCTTATTTCTTTAGCAGAATTCAGCATGGATTACATCTCTAGGATTTCTTCTGTATATATATCACCTTGGTAGAACTTCTCAGAACATGATCATGGGTTACTCCACCACTAAACCCATGTTTCCATGATGCCTGAGTCGAGGTTGGCTGTCTCCCACAGTTTCACTTAGTAATGTCCTGACAGTTTCCCTGCTCTGTTTTACCAAATATCTCTTGGTCTCCTCAATTAAGACAGAGTTAATGAAACAAAGATTTTTGCTGCTGGGTTTGATGTACAATTATACCACATACAATTCCAAGTGATGTAACAATATTTGGCTTATTATTTTTTTTTCTGCTTTTCAGCACTTTCAGACCATGCTGAAGTCTAAATTGAATGTCCTAACACTGAAAAAGGAACCCCTCCCAGCAGTCATCTTCCATGAGCCTGAGGCCATCGAGCTGTGCACCACCACTCCCCTGATGAAGACCAGAACTCACAGTGGCTGCAAGGTATGTGGCACGTGGCCAGCAGAGGCCCTCTCAGTGGGACAGACCAAAGGACATGTAGCCCTAAGACACTTCTTTCACAGCGGTAACATTAAAAAAAGAAAAGAAAATATAAAACAACTAACAACATAAGCTCATTGAGTTATGGTAGTTTGAATCCAGACTTATTTTTCTTAATGATATAATTCATAATTTGGGGGTACACATTAAAGACATGTAGTTAAGGATATGGGAATAAAATAGTGCTTTTGCCATATTTTTTATAGCCCCATGGAACTTTGGGATTCACGAGAAGGTTCTGTCCTTAATGGTAGGTAATTCCTCCCTTTGTATTTGCAGTCTGAATAATACATATCTTCACAAGTATAAAACAAAACAAGTTTCCCAACAGTTGTGCTCTATGCGTCCTTTGGGGAGCCATTGTGCATTTTTGTTTTGCTTCAGCTTTCAAAAATTATACTAATATTCGTGCCTCAGAATCCATTAAACACATTTTTCATTTACGCAAGCTATAATGCCGACATGGAAAGAAGACTAGAAATGAAATGTATAATTTTGGTAGGCTTTTGGATTCTCCCAAGATATACCTTTTCACACGAGTTGTTGAATATAGAAGCTGGTTTAGAAGTAACAAAGAAAATATTTTACGCATACTCTCTCCTCAGAACTTTGTTCTGAGTAGTGAAAATAAAATGAGGGGCAGGAAAATGCATATTTGCATGTGGATTTCTTTTATAACTTTGGAGATAAACTCCTTATTGCTTTCTGGGTTAGGGAAGCAAAAAAGGATCCATTGCTGTCTCTTGTCAGAGTGTTCCTTTCCCTCCTCAGTTCTTGCCTAGCTGTGGTCAGATTGGAGCCTACGGCAATCTTGAGTGAAGGTGGTGTGCACAGAACCTCACACATGTCCATTCATTCCACAAACACTCATTGGGTGCTCACTGTCGTCTCGACGCTGGGAACAGTGTGGGCAAGACCCACTGACACCTTTATGGGCTTAGGTGCTAGTTGGAAGAGGAGGGAGGAGAAAATACAGGGAAACAAGCACTGACAAGAAAGCCAGTCTGTGAAGAACTTGTGGGAGAATCTTTTGGGCAGAAGGAACTGGGAGTGCTAAGTCTCAGAGGTGGACATGGTCTTGTATGTTTTAGAATGGAAAGCAATGGGCCCAGTGTAGCTGGGAAGTGGAGAATGTGGTGGTGAATGGTGGGGTTGGACGGGGGTCTGGGTATAAAGAGCCTTGCTATCATGGCAAGGAGTTTAGACTTGTTCTGATTACTGTAGGGAACCATCAGAGGGATTTAGGCAAGCATGTTGTATGACTCCATTTAAAAAAGTGGTTCTAAATGGTCACTTTGCTAAGGTGGATGTCTAGCTCCCAAGGGCAGTTGCCAGTGGCTCCGCTTCAACTGAGGAAAGTGGGTCCACACAGCTGGCCTTAGGTCACAGTGTGCGCCATGCTTTTCGTGAGCTAATGACATGAAGGAATTATACAAACACTAAATTTAAAAGTGATATGAGGTCAAATGGGTTATACTTCCTTTAAAGATTTTCCAAAGTCATTTTGAATACTGTTCCAGTTGGGGAAGATGGTCCCTCAAAGGAAGATGAAGTCAGTGGCGACAAGTATGAGGAAAAGAGTTTAGTTTGATAAAATCTACCGAGTATGTTTTAATGGGAGTTACAGAGTAAAGGGACTTAGCAATCCAAGCCAGATGTGAAAGAGGGGTGTGCGTGTGTGCGCGCGTGTGTGTGTGTGTGTGTGTGTGTGTGTGTGTGTATGGAGAAAGAGAGAGAGAAATATTTGCTAGGAGAATAAAAGCCATCATTTTTTTCTGAAAAGGAGTATAAGCTTCAGAATTCATGGCATAACTTTTTTTTCCCGGTATACTGCCTTAGGTCATGTTCATTTATTTTACTTCTAAAAGGATGTTGAAAAAAATAGAAGACATTCAAAAGAGCATGCCAAACAGAGCAAGGGGTGGCCTGGTGTCAGTCTGTGGGGCTAGCTAGACAAGGGGAAGTTGGCAAGGATTTGAGCTGGACATGGGGGAGAACTTTGGCCTTCCAGGTGAAAACCACATTCCACTGGGCTAGAAAAAATTTATGAACTCTCCATCCCTAGAAATCGCGAAGAGGAGACTCCAGGTGTAGATCATTGTAATCCAGGATCAGGGATCTGGGCCAACACCTCTTGAGGTACTTTCCAGGTTTATGATTCTATTTGAAGGGAGAAAACCTCCAAAGTGTCATTCTTCAAATTGTATACTATATTATACTTGATACATTTAAATTTGAACTCAACATACTGGAGTTACGGCCTTTACTTCTCAAGGACAATATTGCATTTGTAGTCCGAGTCATAGTCTTTCGTTAAAAAAACAAAAGAAAGTTCTATTTTTGATGCTTGATATTTCTGTTTAAAATCACCAGGCCTCCCCCATTTATCCCCCACCCCCATCCCACCCCCCATCATCCCCTGGAACAAAGTGCAGTGTTTCCTCTTTGATTCTTGCGAATAACTGAGCTCACAAAATGCCAGCTGCAAAATCTCTCCGGGGTTCATGCCTGCCAGGAATAATGAGCACGGTGGAGCCCGCCCAGCTGCAGGGCCAGCCTACCGGCCTTCCATCTTCACACAGTCCTCCTCTTTTCGCCTAACAGCTCTCAAGTTGTGTTTGCGTGACTTTAGGTTTGGGGAAGGGAGAGAGGCAGGAGGAAGCAGAGCAAAGGGGAGTTGAAAATGGATTCTGATTAGCACCGTGGAGGTCCTGGCTGTCTCAGAGTCCCCATTTCCCTCTGATCTGTATTCTCCGTGGGTCCTGTTGGGATCGCCCTGCCAGGCTATTCATGTTGCGGGCAGCTGGGTCTTTGTGTGTCCTCCTCTATTGCTGCCACTATTTTTTTTTTCTTTTGGAGTGGAGTTCTTTAACTGTACCACCCACTGCATGCCATTAGGACACTCCCAGCAGTCCCCTGGTTGGAGCTGTCTGCAGTATTGGAGATGCTGTGTCTGATTTTGCAGTGGCAATAATGGCTTGTCATTCATGTCATCTCCTGCCTAGCACAATGGAATCCTAGGTGGCTTCAGATTGTTAGCAAACATTTGTTTCATTAATAGTCATGGAAAACCTACTGTGTACATGGAATTATGGGGAAAGAAATCAAAGTAGGTATTGTGGGTAATACAACTTATAGGAGAAGCAATAAGTTGAGAGTACCAAAAAAATCACAAGGCCTTCTGGTATTCGTGTGTGTGTGTGCGCGCGTGCGTGCGTGCGTGCGCGTGTGTGTGTGTGTGTGTGTGTGTGTGTGTGTGTGTGTGTGAGAGAGAGAGAGAGAGAGAGAGAGAGAGAGAGAGAGAGAGAGAGAGAGACAGAAACCCCTAGAGGGCAGATTTCTGGACCTTCTTTCCAGAGACTTTGATTCAGGCACTCAGCTTAGTGTGGCGGAGCAAGAGCCTGCACTTATAAACAGACCATGTAATTTACATGGTGCCTGGACCATGCTATGAGTTTGACTTGAACCACAGAGCAATGTAAGTGACATAAATGAATACACACCCTGCTCGGTGGGAGATGGGGTGGGAAGTGGTATGTGGGGGTAGCTGGCACTTGCAGGGTTAGAATGGCTTTGCCACATAGTTGACCAGGAGGCTGACATCTAAGCAAGGGCCTTAGGGCCTGCTCTCACCTAGGATGCTCTAGTTTCCAAATTTGGCCTCTTGCTGAGTGAGGCACTTGGCCTGGCCTCCTGAGAAGCCTCGTTTAAGGCCCTTAATGTCTTCTTCACATTTGTGAGGGCAGAAGCCATCAAACAATCTAGTTTCCAAGAAAGAGTTCATGATTCTTAAACCATAACAATTTTTAAGTGACTCTTTTTGAGACTCTTTGCACTCAGGAGTGGCAGTAGTAGTCCCTTAGTTCTCAGAAGGGATGTGATTGGTTTATAGTTTCATGAGGCGAAGAAGAGAAGTTTCTGAGCCGAAGGCTTGGAAGGCAATCCTCAGACCCTATACCATTATGGCCAGTTTAGAAGTGAATTCCAGAAATCTCACTTATAAGAAGAGCTCATGATTTGAATTTAAATATGTTGAGAATTAGAATCACTTGTATCTATTTTCTGCACTTATATTTTTGTGTTTATTTAATCAGTTATGTATTTAATTAATGAGAATTTTTAGTTATGTTTTCTCATTTTAGCCAAAGTACTAGTTTTTTACCCATTAACAGAAGGGAGAAACATTAATGATATCATGTTGTTATCTTTATTGAACACATCTTTGCAGCCCTTTGCTGGTGTAGGTCATTTTGGGCATTGCATGAATACAATTAAGCCAATTAGGCATAGTTTCTCCCTGCAAAGTGAGTTTCCGATTTCAATATCAAAACAGAATACAAATAAAATAAAGAATAATAATATATAAAGTAAGGTGCAGGCCCATGGTCTTTATTGGTTATTTCCTCTAAATTCAGAGTGGCTGGTATTTAATTCTCTCTCCATTTATTTTCTCTCCATTCTTTCTCAGACTTCCTTGTAAACATCAAAGCACATCACTTCTGCTTGTGTCCAAAATATAGGAAAGTGAAAGTTGATATGAGCTAACATCTGTTGTTTCAGAGACAAGCTTTTATTTTTTTTGCAATTTTTACTGTCGATTTATAAATTTTCTGAATTTCTCCTTCCCTCCCTCCCTCCCTCCATCCCTTCTTTCTTTTTTTATTCCTAATTTTCTTCTTTCATTGTTTTTCTTCACCCACTAGAATATATTATACACCCTCAGGCTGTTCCAGGTGTTGATAGGAACACAAAGACAAGCAATAGTTTTGGATGCTTCGGGTCGAAATAACAGAAAACCTATCTTGAATTGATTTAAATCATTGAAATGTATTTGTTTTCAAATATGCAAATATGCAAATATGACGGAGTTTTCAACTCCATCAGGAGGGGCTAGAGAAAGAAATGCTAGACAGGCAACAAAAGAGTGTCCACTACAAAAAAGC